TGGCCACATGGGTGGTTAGGTATAGAGAAGCACTGTGGAATAGAAGAGCGATGTAATTTCAAGTGAGCTTTGGAAGAGGACGAGGATAGTGTAATAGTAGTGCATGGCGACTTTGGTTTGAACTAGGGTACGGGGTGAGAAAGGAAGTCAGTCCAGGGACGGGCCCAGAGCGTGTTGGTGAAGGAAGGGAAAGTGTCTGCAGCCTCTTGGCTGGAAGAATACCAAGACCTTCCAGTGAGTCACAGCCAACCAACCAAGAGAACGAGTACATTTTGAAGGGGGACGGAGGTGTACAGCTCGGTGCTGAGTTTCAGGGATGGCCCCCCAGCCTGGGGGAGTTCACGCGAAGATGCCTGGCCAGCCAGTGGACCGGGGGGTTATGTGGGAACGCCGTGAGTCTGCCAAGTTTAGAACATGGGGTGAGAGGGATGTATTTATTTCATGTCTTGTCCTCATTAATCTCCCCTCAGAGTATCCAAAGGCAAGTGGAACAGCTCTAATGGGGTCGAAGAAAAAGACACTTGGATCGGAGAGGATGAACTGTTTCACGTCCAGGGTAAGCTGCAGCTTCTCCTCGGCTTCCTCCTGCTTCCCGAAGGATAGATGCATGTCACTAACATTCATGTTCTGGAAGCCGCCGTCTCCGAACGGAGAAAGGGTAGTAAGTGCCTGCCCCTCTTGTCGTTCGTGAGGAGCCACTTCTATGTTCTTTCCCATTAAACAAAGGAGACTGTCCAGGTAGCATTTAATGTTTAAAGAACATCCCTGGTTTTGTTGTAATAAATCCTAGAATATTTAATCCTAGTTGCTGTTCCTTCTATCGTCTGTTAGTTAGAAAGGTAGTAAGCGTTATTCCCTGCATTTCTTGCATAAGTTAAAAAAAAAACCTTACCAGTTTCTATACACACCTTTTTTGTTTTTCTTTTTCTCTTTTTTTTTTTTTTTTGAGGCAAGGTCTCCCTGTCAGTTCAGGCTGGCCTAGAACTGACTTTGTAGCCCAGGCTGGCCTTGAACTCAACAATCCTCCTGCCTCAGCCTCCAGAGTGCTGGGCCTGCGCCACCATGCCCGACCCCAGACTACTTTTCCATAATTAATACCAAACCTCATAGCATTTGCATGAGAATCTCCCACATATTGGCATTCTAATGGAAATATCTAGGTGCAAAGTCAATCCCAAAAGGTTTTTTGTAGTTTGGTTTGATTTGGTTTTTTGAGACAAGGTCTCACTATGCAGTTCCATCTGGCCTTGAACTTGCTATGTAGCCCAGGCTGGCCTCAAACTCATGGCAATCCTCCTGCCTCAGCCTCCCAAGTTCTGGGATTACAGGCATAAACCACCACGCTTGGCTTCCAATCCCAAAATTTTTGTCCTTAAAAGATACCTTCATTGGCAGAAATGTAGTTGACAATATCAAGATCACATGGCAAATGGAAGAAGTGACAGAAAAGCAATAAAATACAAAAATTCTAGAAGACAGCCACTTCCATTGCAGTCCAAATGCGTCAGCTTTAGAAATCTGATTCCAATAAATAAATAAATAAATAAATAATTTATTGTTTTCTTTTTTTCTCCATAAAAGTAATGTGCACTTGGGAGGCTGAGGCAGGAGAATCACAAGTTTGAGTCCTCCTTGGGCAGCTCAGTGATATCCTGTCCTAAATAAATAAATAAATACATAGATAGACAGACAGACAGATAGGTAGATCAATGGATAGAAAGAATTAAAAGGGTTGGGGATGTAGTGCCGTGGCGGAGAGCCGCTGGATTCAATCCCCATTACCACCACCAAAAAAAAAAAAACAACATGTTTTTCTGCTCCTGTAGGTAACCATTTTCCAGAGCCGTTTTCCCCCATTGTTCAGGACACATTGCTAGCACTGCGAGTGCTGCTGCGGCAGACAGGCCGGCACATTTCACGTTGCTGTATCGTGGCCTCCGTGGCTTTCCTGCTGGCTTCCATTGCTTACAGTAGCCCATATTCTGTGCTTGTATCCCCTCCCTAGCCCTTTAAAAATACCATCTTGCTGTTTTGGGAAACCTCATTCGTCATCCATAAGCTAGTAAGACAGGGAGCCTGCTTAGGCTTCTGTGGCCCACGGGAGTAAGACGAAGTGAATAGTGCCCTGTTATTTCATTATGCACTGAACCAAATTGTATTTATATAAAATGGCTGGAGGCCAGGGGTATAGCTCAGTGGCGCAGTGCCTGCCTGGCAAGTGTGAGGTCCTGAGTTCGATTCCCGGTACCAAAAAATAAATACATTAAATGACCAAGGATTTGACATTTTTGCCATAAAACAGTAAAATCTTGTTATTTCAAAGCAGTACGTGGTCAGCAAGCTGCTGTAAATCGGAGATTACACACAGACACAGCATGTACACACATAGATATTAAGGTAGTACGCAATAGCAGTTCCTCAGTAATTTTAGAAAATGATGGTTTCACTGAAGAGCCTAAAATCCATCAGATAACTGCGGAGGCCTGTGAGTAAAGTCCTTGCTTTGTGCAGTTCTCGTGGAATAAAAGGACTGATGTTTGGAAAGGACAGAAATGAATAGGTCGTTAGGGCCCTTACTCTTTCCCATGTGTGCGAAACTCCAATCAGGTTTTCCCCTTTAGTTTGTGCACAGAAAGGTAGACTCTAAAATGGATCTATTTTTAATGTTTTCCAGGAGCAACAGGTGAAGACAGTACATCGAGTGTAGGAAGAAAGCAGGTAATTTGAACTTTTCTTTTCTGATCTGAGTTTTATAGGTAGAACAGAGGTAAAATAGTTACAGACTACCTGTGCAGTGGTAAAAAGTTTTTCTTGAGATAATTGAATAAAGGGTTGTTGCTGGGTGTGATAGTCCCAGTACTCCAGAGGCTGAGCCAGGAGGATCGCCACAAGAGTTTGAGACCAGCCTGGGCTACATAGTGAGTTCAAGGACAGCCTGAACTACATCGTGAGACCCTGTCTCAAAACAAACCAAAAAGCCAGTGTGCTGGCACACACCTGTCTCAAAAAATAGCTCCCCCAAAAAGGACTGTAGACAGATCAAGTTAATGTTAATTCTTTAGAAGAAGAATCTAAGAGGACAGAGCCTGACACACCTTGTAGACCATGAACACATACACAAATTTGATGTTTGGGACAGAACGAGCTGGCAGGAGATTGAGAAGTTGAAAATGTCCAGGTCCACAGTGCTCACTTACTGCGCATGCCGTACTGTAGACCATAAACCCTCCTGTTAGATTCAGATTATTCTCCTAGGATTCTTTCTGGGGGGTGCTGCTGCCAGGGATCAAACCCAGGACCTTGCACAAGCCCCCTACCCTGCACAGCCCCGGCCCTCTCGTAGGCGTCACTGTTTCGGAGAAGATACGAGCGGAGAGCGGCTTGATGCATCTTTGGTTTCTTTTGCAGAAATGGACGGTAGAAGAAAGTGAATGGGTCAAAGCTGGAGTGCAGAAATACGGGGAAGGAAACTGGGCTGCCATCTCTAAGAGTTACCCCTTCGTTAACCGAACAGCGGTGATGATCAAGGATCGCTGGCGGACCATGAAAAAGCTCGGCATGAACTGAAACTGGCTTTCATTTCAAAGGAATTCACAGGAGCATGGTTCCTGATCATAGTCCCTGGTAGTCCGCTGGTTCTTCCCGACGCTGGGATGGGATGAAATGTGGGGATCGGCCTCCTTCCGTGTCGGGGAGCTCCCAGGGCCGCCTCATCACTGTCGGAGATCATGGAGCTGAGAACTAAGACGCCAAGCCAAGCCCGTCCCATGTCCTTGGCAGAGATGACAGGCACACAGCTTGTACAGTGCCAGAATATCATTAGTGTTCCCCTCCTGTAGTGATTTGCCGAAATTTACATCTCCAGTAATCTGTAGAACCTTCTCCTAAGAAGTGGTGGGGTCTGTTAGGGTCCACTTCCTTTTCCATGACCTGTGAAAACCAGCATCATGAGCATTACCTGGAGTGAACTCGTTCCCTGTAAAGTTCTGGCCTTCTGGCACAAATGCAAAGCGACTCTTCTATTACGAGCCCAAGTTGAGCGAACAGTCTCTGTGGAATCCGGTTCCTTTTAGAGTGTTTTCCCACCCGTGACATCAGCCCTAGAGCTGACTGCCTTGGCCTTTGCCCTGAACACATGCTGGGCTCCTCCGGCAGGTTTAACCTCCGCTTCTCACGTGGTTGAACCAGTGTGTTTTTTGGTAAAATTGTGATTGTAGATAAGCTTAGCCCCGTCCAAGCCCCTCCCCTAACTCCCTTCTTGATTTTCTTCCTTATGCTGGACTTTTAAAGCTTAAAAAAGATCCTGACTGAATATCAATGCCTAATCCATTCTTTGTGAAACAGTTGCTTCCGCCTGATTCCTTAATTGTGCTGTGTTCGTGTCTTGCACTGGAATTCAACATTCCCTGCTCCTTTTGTACCGTGTTGTACTTGCTGTCTCTCAGACATCCTTAAAGACTGTCTTTTTAGCAGAAAATTTCAGTAAAGTGTTTTCTGTAATTTTTTTTTTAAATATGGGAACTAATTATTGTCCGTACTTGTAGCATTCTTCATTAAAGTCTTGCTTCTCTCAAATGTAAGTACCTGTTCCGTTGCAGCGTAGCACGTATTCTCAGCTGGAGGTGGCGAACGCTGAACAAACTGCTGAGCTATGCCCACCGAGAAGCCGCCATTAGACTGTCCTGGATGTTCTGATCCTTGGAAGCCTGTTAAACAGATAACGTGGAAATTTCCTCTTAGTTTGCCCACTTCCTTACATAACCGTCTCTTTCCGGGACAAAAGAGTTACTTCCTCTTTTGAGTGACTGAAAGGCAAGCCTTAAGGGTATGCTAAGGCTTTAGAATTTACCCTTAGTGACAAGCTGGCAACTTTGCAGTTTTGCAGTTTGATACCGTTTCTCTGTCAGCCACCCCAGTGAAGTCCCCGGGAGGGGGGAGACCTTGGCCTCCTCTCAGGGCGGCAGCTTTCCGCTCAGAGCTGGCTGTGGGCTGCTCCCCAACAGGACCTGGGCCCGGGCGCTGGCCTCCCCCAGCTCCCGCCTTCTCAAGGCAGAAGGCGGGGCTCGGTGCGTGGAGGGGAGCAGGGTACCCTAAGTGTCTCCAGCGTGACAGTGCCTGGGCCCGTTTACGTTTTTTCACGTAACTTCAGTGTTATTTTTCTTCCAGCGTTACAAACGTGTACATAGATCTATGCTTACGGCTTCTGTAGAAGGTGAACGGTGAAACTTCGCACGAACTGATTACGTAGCCGAAGCAGTCGTTGCGCATGACCGCGCTGCCCGCACTGCAGTGGCGGCGGCTCGCGCGGGAAGTCCTGTGTCACGGTGTATCCAGAGGCCCCAGGCGCTCCTGCACTCATTCGGGAAGCCGGCTGCAGGGCCACCGAGCCTGCGAAGCGCCGGGAGGCCTCTTGTCCTCCGCTGGAACTGAAACCCTCTCAAAATCTATTTCTTGCTTACTAGTTATGACACTTGAAATTGATGCAATGAATTTTGAAGCATTTCTGGATTAGAGGAAACTAACGCAGTTTTTTATTTTGTTTCTTAAGACTGACTGAAATAAACTGGGAGTGGTAGCTGAAGCAGGAGGATGTACCGTGAGTTCGAGGCCAGCCTGGGCTACATAGTGAGTTCAAGTCTGCCCTGAGTTACATAGTGAGACCCTGTCTCACAAAAAACAAAAAAAAAAGACTGATTGAAATAAGAATGTTTGAACATTAGGACTCAGAGACTAATAGTTTGAGAAAACTATCCTAGAGGTTAAGACTATGAGTCCCGTGTCCCCCCCCC